AAAAAAAAAAAAAAGAAACAACCTTAATTTGTTGAATGTAAAGCTCACAATATATAGTTCAATTTCTTTCAGCCTTGCAAAGGGATGCTGCTTTTTGGTCCCCCTGGAACTGGAAAAACCCTTGTAGCAAAGGCTCTGGCTACCGAAGCAGGGGCCCATTTCATCAATGTTACTCCTTCATCCCTTACATCTATGGTACGTAGGAGAATTAAGCAAACAAGTATTTATAAATGCCTTGGAACAGTAGTTCTATATATCCGGCAAAAATTCAATTTTGGTCCCGCTGTCAATTGTCCACTTTTGGTGCACTATCTTTCCACTCATAAAAAATGGACAAGTTAGCGAAACAAAATTGAATTTTTGCCTACAGTACTCGACTTATCCAACATATATACTTTTTTTGGTGCAGTGGCATGGGGAAGAAGAAAAACTTGCGAGGGCACTATTCTCCTTGGCTGTGAAGCTGGCTCCTACAATTATTTTTATGGATGAGGTGAGTGGATATATAAATGCATGGATTATAATCTAATAGATTATATAAAACCTGTTATATATTTGATGCTTTTGTGGGCAGATTGATGCTTTGCTTGGTGCACGTGGTCGATCTTCTGAGCATGAGGCAACCAGAAGACTTCGGAATGAGTTTATGTCAGCTTGGGATGGATTGACTTCAAATGACAGCCAAAGAATACTTGTTCTTGGTGCTTCAAATAGGCCCTTTGACCTTGATGATGCTGTCATTCGCCGCATGCCAAGAAGGTACCTACATCTCTAGTACGAGTCAAAATATTCGTACATTTGTTGTTTATGCTTGAAGGGTGTATGTATTTTCATATACACGAGACATTTTTTTTTAAAAAAAAAAAAACACCCGCGGAGTGGTGTTGAATTAAGGTTGTATCTCCCAACATTTATATAGTCACGACCCTGAATGGGCCAAAATAGCCCAGGTCTACACAAGTCCAATAGAAAACCTATTGAATAGTAAACTGGCCTGACCAGTTTACTCACAAACCCTACTCTTTAAGAATAATGTCGGAGCTCGGATCATCATGATATGTGACATTTGAAACATGGTTGATTTTTTCTAGATCTTCTACAATTTTGTTTATTAATTTATTGACATGAATTTTGAGCCTGACAGAATATCCTTGATTACTCCTCGTAGGATTCATGTTGACCTACCAGATGTGAGAAGCAGATTGAAAATACTGGAGATACTTCTTGCCAAAGAGGCTCTGGAATCTGGGTTTAACATTAAAAAACTCGCAGTGGCTACTGCAGGGTATTCCGGGAGCGACTTAAAGGTAAATGTTCGTCGAGTTTGCAACAACAACAACAACAACAATGGTTATAGATATTGTGATTCCTACTCATGTCTAAGCTATTTTTTCGCAGAATCTATGTGTGGCTGCGGCATATAAGCCTGTCCAAGAACTACTTGAACAAGAAAGCAAGGTAATAAACACTATAATGATCTTCTTATCAGTATTCTGCTATACTTTTTAAGATTAGATTTTTCTGTTTAATGGATGGTATATATATTACGGTTAAAATTATAGAGTGTTCGACTTTTGTCTTTTGTTGCTTGACGACATATATTGTTATATACTATCTTTCAACAAACATAAATGCTTAGTAATTATGCATGCATAAAACATTAAAAACCACAAATATAACAATTTGTCCGCAATCACAATTTCCTTTGTCTTTTGTTATATATATGTTTATATTTACTAGTAAAGTGCACGTGCAATGCACGTGCAATGCACGTGGTGACAAATATTTTTGGCCGATAAGATAAATCAATTAATTTATTAAATATATGATTGCAAGAACAAAATGAAATATAGAACAAATAAACTCTTAATATAAATTTTTTGTTAAAAACAACATAATGATGTCGTAACATAAAAGGATTTAAATAACATGTTACAAACTCAAACAAAAATATATAAGAAAATAAGTCCCTAATAATAAAAATAATAATAATAATAATAATAAATAAGGATCTAATGTATATTATAGATGCATGAGTTATTTATCTATTTATAATGTTCGAGAGTCATTTTTTTTTTCATTTTAGTTTTGAGTTCTCATAAGAAACATTCATACTCATTGGAGTCCAATACATCAATAGTATTGCAAAATTATTCTTAATTAATTAGTAAAACGTCTACTTTATTCAACACTTTTAAATACTTTAGCCAAACATATAGTCAAACTTCATAATTGAACGATCATTATAAGATATTTCAACTGACATTTCATAATTATCTATGTGAAATAACCAACCGTGTCACTGAAATTCGTGATTTTTTTATCATTGTATAAACTACTACATTACTCTCTCTCTTTCTCTTTCTCTCTCCCCATATAGACAAATTGGTACCTATCATATAAGGTGAGAACGAATTTTATTTCTAAATAAAAGTTGATTTTTCAAATCATGTACTTCTTCGAAAAGATGTTAAACTATTTTTATTATCATCATATTACATGAAGTACATACTCTAAAGTAATTGCGCATATTCTCGAGCACAATACACAATTAA